CATGTGTGCACCAGGCCCGCGAGACGCTTAGCAAACGCAGTCTTGCCACACCCGGGCAGACCAACCAAAACCAGCATTTGCGGCATTGTTGTGTAAATTGCTTTCCTCTACAAAAAAATAAACACGTCATTATTAGTAAATAGTGGTTTAATACGCACAGACCATCTTTAGATATACTCGCCTATTCGTATGACAGTCGTACGTCGGATATAAAAAAGTACAAGAGCGAGTGAAATAATAAACGTATGCAAAGGGAAAAAAGAAGAAGAAATAAAAAAAGAAGCCTGGTTGGCGTAAACAAATAGTAAGGGGGGAGCTGCAAAGCAGAAATCAAGCTCAGAACGTGGTATAGTGCCAAAGACAGCAGCTGATGGTATAAAATTATAAAAAGGAAAAAATTTGGATGCGCTTTATGATGCAGTTTATGCGCTAGTAATAGATAGAGAAGAAAATTGTTATAAAAAAGTAATGAACGAGAGAAGAGAGAGAGAAGAAGAGAAGAGTTGAACTATTTACGCAGAAAGACAGAATGGCTTTTTTCGAGTTGCGCTGCATAACATTCGTCCTTTATAGAAAGAGTAGTGGGAAGATGTACGCTATTCCTCTCCCCCATCCAAGGAGGGTGCCTCCCTTGCGCAGTAGGGGCACTCTCGCTACGACACTGCGTATAGTGTATGTGCCGCGCTCTGTCCCAGGCTCCCCCCGCTCCTCCCCTGCCTATATCCCGCATTCCGCTCGAGTATAGTGCCCGTGGATCGCCCCCATTGCTGGAATCAATCACGAATGCATCAGCTCGACTCGCAGCTGGCTCAAAAGAATGCGTTTCCTCAACCACCACGTGTGCTTTGGCACTTTATCTCTTCAATCTCAATTTGCATACTATTTATTAAAATGCCTGCTCTACGCGACCGCATTCGCGCGCTGTTGCGCCGCCGCAGCGACCCAAAGACTATAATCTCTGTACAAAATGATCGCCGCGTAGTAGTGGCCAGCATTCTCATTATACTGCTACTCGGCCTACCGCTTTGGTGGACGACAACACGCGTGTATCGGGCCGAGTTGCCAGCAACAGAGATTGCCGATTTCTCGCCCGATCAGGTTCTCACAGTGCCGTTCAGCTTCTACATAGACGCGCCAACGACCATAGCGGCGGAGGCAATCGAGCACATGGCTCAGAAGCTGATAGACGAGCGACGTGCGGCCTATGCGCCCAGCGAGTGGCGGGTCAGGTACACGGCACGCGTACGACACAAAATCACAGCGCCTGACGTGCCCGGCCACTATACGCTGCGCCTGCGCGAGGCGGCAAAGGAATCTGTAGTCTTTGATGTGGGCCGCGTTGCCCACGTATCGGTGGGGTCAAACACTGAGAAGCGTGACGCCCGGGTGGCGCGGCTGGTGGCGGATATCGTGGCCAAGGAGGAGCGCGAGCTGCGAGAGAAGGGTGGTGCGAGGCGGGCGCTAAAGTACGCGCCCGAGTACTCGGTGACCTTCACGCTGCTCAACGAGGACCCCGTCGGTGGCGCCGCCGTCAGCTGGGACATCGAGCACGCCTCTGACTCGTATGTCCGCCCCTTTGCCGACGCCCTGCGCCCGCTGGCTCAGCTGGCCGTGTCCACGCAGGTGCTGCACCACGCGGGTCCGCCACCCGTCACACCTCTGGCCCACAGTAACGGCACGTACCTGACACCCGACATGCTACCGCACTTCGCCAACTCGCCGTGGTGGAATCTGGCGTCGATCGATCCCATTGCTCCCGCCATCAGCTTCATTCTATATGTGCCAGCACTCCGGTCCCAGCCCCTCCACATCGTGGACGACGCCAAGCGCCCATCCGCCACTAACGCCTTCGTCGTCGCGCAGTGGGGCGGCATCGCCATCGCCAACTTGCCAATCGGTACCGCGGGCGATGTTGTTATTTCACACGACGAGCTGCAGAAGTACTTTGGTGTCTTTATCGCTCAGCTACGCGAGCTCGTGGGCATCCGCAATGACACGCCATTGCTTCCCTCGGCGGGGGTCAGCGTACGGCGCGCCACGACCACCGGCATAAGTGCCTGGGAGCTCGACGCCCTGATGCGCCAGTGGATGGTCGCTAACCGACAGACCGCCATCACCACCCTGCAGTCTCTTGTGCGTCTGGTGCAGTCCATGGAAAATATGGTCGTCATGGATGAGATCAAAACCCAGGTCGACCAGTCCCTCTCCGCACTCCACTCCATATCCCACGCTCTGGCCCACGATATCAGTCATTTGCGCGCTTTCGAACTCGCTGCTAATGCCTCGCGTACTGCCGAGGGCGCCTTCTTTGATCCATCCATGGTCTCGCTCTTGTACTTTCCTGATCAGCACAAGTACGCTATATACTTGCCGTTCTTCTTGCCTGTCGCCATCCCTCTCCTGTCTGCTATCAAAAAGGCCATCCGCAAGGAATCAAAGAACGATCCCAAGCCTGCTGCTGCTTCCGACGATAAAAAGAACGAATAGTTAATATATATGACATGGCTAAAATATTGAGGACTTTGTAAGGCAAGATCCAGACAAAGAGAGTCCACGTGATTTATAAAGACTGTGGTTGGCTTAAGTACCGACGGTTTAAGCCAATCATCATCAGAAGTTGCGAATTTAGTTCAAAATTCGTCAAATTGACACTTTGGCCGAGTGGTTAAGGCGACGCCCTGCTAAACAGCCGGAGCTTGTTGAAAGGCGTTGTCCATTGGACGCGCAGGTTCGAATCCTGCAGGTGTCGATTTCTTTTTGCTATTTTTTACTCCGTTGTCGATCAATATCAATGGATTGATTATAACGTAGTGCAGATATTTTTTATATGAAGTTCTGCCAACACAGTACATGTGGCAATAACACACGATCTTTTAGCTACTTTATTGCTGTGCTTGTCACACTCGCTAGCTGCCAAGCCCCGATACATGGGCCACAATGGTTTTGACCTCGCCTGCCAGAAAGCGGTGTAAAACTTGATAAAATTGTCTACGCGAAAACACTGCTTGTTAGTTTCTAAGCGTATAGGCGTAGCTTATCCGATAGTCTTTATTGTAGCTTATAACAGTACGTATGCTCACAGATAATCACATCGGTATGTATGTGAGACACTACTACAATTCGGCAGGTTGCAGACTACACCTAGATCACACAAAGATAGGCGTGATCGGCCAAGGATCATTTTGGGAAATGTCTTTATGCGGGCAGATGAACTGCTGACCCATGCATATCGGTGCAATCTCATGTCCGTGGTTGCTGAAAAAAGCGAGACGCACGTGTCTACATTGAAAGCACGCAATTTACATTTTCTTTGTAGACTTAGTCTGCACCGATGCACTAGAGCGTCTTTCTGTACATTGCAGCATTGGATACGTGGATACGCGAAAAAAGTTCACGTTGGGGGGAAGGGAGAATTACAGGTGCATTAATAATTTAAAGATAGCGCGCGCAACAAGAAAAAAAAAATAGAACGCAAAATAGAAACTTCGTATTACAGAATACGTCTGCCCTTTGGGCCGTCATCGACAGTGTCGAGCGAGTTTACAGACCGCGTATCATAGTGACGAGCATTAGTACCACGGCTCTGCGGAATAGCCGTCGCCTCCTCAGAAGCGCGATAGCCCTCCAATACCTCCCGATCCGCGCCCTCTTGCTCACCGTTCCGACCGAACTGCTGCATGCCAAAGTATCCACTCTCACGTCCGGAATCTTCATCCACATTCTTCTCAAATTGGTTGGCCATAGTGCTGTCCATCCGTGCGTAGTGAATGGGAGCCTCGGCGCGCAAATTGAGGTTGGCCTCGTACATGTCCTGCAGGCCGTCAGTGCGCAGGCGCAAGAGCCATTCGCGCTCGTATTCTTTGTTGCGCACCACACTCATCACCACCGGGTACGCCATGATCACCAGGATAATGCCGTTGATGATGAGCACGTCGCCCAGCGTCTCAGCTATGCGGTAGCCCAAAATAAGCGGGTACTTTGGGTGCGTAAAATGCACCGTCGTGGTTTTTACCATGGCGGCAATACCGAAGAAGCAGATAAACAGGAACTCGTAGAACTCGTTGAACGTCGACTGGATATTCCGCAACCGAATCATCATGACAATGATGATTGCCCAGTTGAACCACAAAAGACACAGCGTGACGATTACATACCCCTCGGTCGTCGTGCACAGCTCAACAGCCTCGACATAGCCGATAGTCAGATTCCCGGACATAGCCGTCGTGACGATAGAGTATACGATGTAGCCCCCGATAAAGAAAATGGATGGCAGGTAGTACGCCAGGCCGCGCGTAGGCTTGTTCTGATTAAACACGCGGTCGAGCGCGTAGCAGCGGATAGACAGAACGGACGTATAGATGAAGCAAAACAAAACGCGCACCCAGATATTCCAGAACTTGCACTCACTAAACGCACCCCTCAAAAGCACATGGCCATTCATGGGCAGGTCCCCGACAAACCACAGGATCCCCGAGACGTACAGGACAGTGGTTAGCGGCAGGTTCTTTGCGCGGATGGGCCGATAAGAATGTTTGGTCCAGGCCGTGGCAATAAACGCGCCCGTGATGGCAAAGATGGCGCAGCCGAGCGCTATGACCATTGTGTCCATGCTGCCAACCGGATCAATGCTCATTTTAAACATACTCTCGAGGACGGCTATCCGCTCCTCGGGAGAGTCGTAGAGGCTGCTCCTCCTCGACAGAGCCATTATAAAAAATTATAATAATAGAGTATTATAGTAGCAAAAAAAGAAACAGAAAAAAGATAGGATTTCGGCAGAAAGAATAAATTTTACCCACTATTCTCGGCTCTTTGAAAACGTGTAGACGGCAATCCAACGAGCGGAAGCTACAAAAGGAACGTGGGGAAAAAATAAAAGGCAATCTGGTGTAGCCGTGCTAACACAGATCGACGCCAGCAAATTGCGATGGCGACAGCAATCTAGTCGATCTTTGGAGGAGGTAAAAAAAGTGTGAACGTGATTGGGAGCAAAAAGTAGATGCCTTCTACCAGAATCGAACTGGTGACCTTCTGCTTACTAGGCAGACGCTCTGCCATCTAAGCCAAGAAGGCAGTCTGTTTTGGACTAGTCATCCAACTTGTTTTATCAGGTGGTGTTTTATTATGTCACTCTATACCAGGCAGTAACAATAGGGATATAGGTGCCGCTACTTTAAGCGCGTCCAAGATTTCTGGCGACGGGTTTCGCGATTCCTTCAAGACATCCGCGTAGATACGTCTGGCCCAATCTTCCAGGTCGACCTGCAAATGGTCGCCACGGGTTTTGG